AACAAACATGAACACAAGTATACATAACACAAGAAAAGAAATAAAAAACTATGGGTCTCTATTGACCCTTTGTGATAACAACTCTACAGTGCAGGGTCACTGTGGGGGACAGGCTAAGCATAGAGGTAAATCGAAATTCAAGATGGGACTTTGCAATTGTCCGTGGCTATGGATAACTAGGATGGAGATTTCCCCTTCATCTCGAACTCACATTTTCCACAGCATGCCTGTCTTTGCAAATGAAAATACCTGCATTCAGAGCCATTACGTTCAGTCAGAGAATGTTCAGCTGAAAGTATCCCTCTGTAAGCCCGTGCCCTGAGCTGAACACTGAACGCGGCGCATTGTTAAAATGTGGTGAACACATTTATGACATAATTCTTCACAGCTGTTTTGCCATGTACAGCTCCGACACGGCAAATACTCGAGAAGGAAACTGCACTAACGATCTGTCCTGACTGCTACACAATCAGCGAACCCGCTGCAGTGGTGGAGAGAGGAACAAGACAGGGGGCAGAGAGTCTTACAGTCCTCAGAGAACACGCAGGAGCTGATGTTGCCCTCGTGGCCCTTGCTTAGCGTCACTCCTCCTCGTGAACGAAACCGCCCCGTTGGGATATCCCACAGCCGCAAGGTTTTATCCCAAGACGCCGTGCACAGGTGCCGCCCATTCCCGGTGAAGCAGCAGCTGGAGATCACGTTGGAGTGACCACTGCAGCGGAACCGGCAACGATGTGCGAGGCAGACAACAAGAGGGTTAAACAGCAGCAGCGCAATTCATGACAAAGCAAGGCTGTGCTCAAGAGATAGCCATTTGGCTTCCATCTGTTGTTCATTGATAGATCCAAGAATCCCATCCACACAATGAGGAGATGTCAGTGACTCACCGCGCAGAATAACCTGCACCTGCTCATCCTACTGTTAATCAGTGTTTACTATCCTTATGTCTGAGCCAATCATTCCTGAACAGCCACGTGAGTCTTGTTCCCTGTGGTAAAGCTGATATAGTGGTGGTGATTAAGGCCCATAACTCTAAACTCCGTTTGCTCGGCGGTCGCATATTTATACAATTCGTAAAAGTTGAAGATTACCCCCGTAACGTGCTGTTCACAAAAAAATCAATTATCTTTTCACCATGTCCCCATCTTCACTTTATTAAATTAGAGGCGAGATTAAAATCAACATCTCCGAGACGAGCGTCTATGACAGCTCTACAGAGTTATGGTTCAGCATCTGGAATTATATGAGCCCCGAACGAGAAAGAAACGTGCATAGTACTGTAGAGTTATTGCGAAGTTCCAAGGAATTAATAACAAACTAGGGGTAAGTTCTCCTTACAAAAAAGGTGTAAACACTGGTGTGCCAATGAATGTCACAGAATAAAAATCATTAAAAGGGCTTCTTTTTCTTCAGATAACCTTGGGAGGTATATACTGAAAACACTCGTCAAAGACATGAAGTGCAAAGATGTTGTGAAGTGTGACCTGGTGGGGGTACACTTTAACAATGACACTTTCTGAAATAGATCGCTGGGCATTCCATCACTGTGCCTCATTCAGAGCCTGCGTCTTGGCAGAGGCCCAGTGCTTTCCCGAAGATGAGATATCCTGCAGCAGGGATCTCCGGAGTCAGAAAGGATGGC